TTATTTAAATTTATTTTATTTATATTCAATTAAATTATTTAGATATTTTAATTACCCCATATTTAAAAAAAATATACATCTAACCACCAAACAACCCTTAAAACAATACGATTGCTCACATATCTAACTATTAATCCTACTATTTAAAAAATAAATAAAAATATATCATTTTATGATTTATGTTACAGAGGAGTAGAGGACACGTAATCTGTTGTAGTTTGATTTTGTTGTCAAATGAAAAAGCTGAGTGTTTCAATTCCCCGCTCTCCGCCAGTCGCCGCTTCGGCCAGTTCGTCTCCAGTGTAGATCAGGAGGGGTGGAGACCTATTGACGTTGTTCTTCCCCTACAAGCCCCAAAAATATCTCCTTTTTCATGTCCAAAGCCTTTCTTCCCCGTATCAAGCTGACCCCTCGCCGCACTCAAAACTCCCCATTGCCCGTTTCCCGAGCCCGCAAACTCGCCGCTGCCATCACTGAAATTCTACAAACCCGCGATACAAATGCTCAATGGGAGGAATGCCTAGCAGAGGTCTTCCCCGCCGACGAGGATATCGCTTCCGTTGTCGCCTTCCTCCGCGACCCGGACTCTACTCTCGCCTTCTTCTCCTGGGTCCGCGGGCGCCCTTTCACAGTTACTCCGGACTCTGCATCATACTCCGCATTGCTGTGCCTCCTTGCCAGAAACCGTCGCTTTGAAGAATCGCAGCTCGTGCTGGAAACCATGCTAACTGAAGGAACGGTTCCAACCTGCGAAGCTTTCAGCACTCTTGTTGGCTCATACTCCCGTTATGGTTTGCAGGATAAGGCCTTGAGCGTTTATTTCAGCATGAAGGAGAAATTGAGCTCTTTGCCAGATGTCTCCGACTGCAACTGTTTATTAAATTTGCTTGTAGAGCATGGGCGTCTGGAGACTGCACAACAAGTGTATGATGAAATGCTTAAGAGAGATGGTGGAGCAAATAACTTTAGTACGGGTATTATGGTTAAAGGATTGTGCATTCAAGGAAGGATGGAAGATGCTAGGAATTTGATGAAGGATAGATGGGGGCGTAGCGTTTTTCCAGATGTGGTTTTCTATAACATGCTTATTGATGGATACAGCAAGCGTGGCAATGTTAGGATGTGTTATATTCTGTTGAGAGAGATGGGATTGAAGGGATTTGTGCCTACACTGTCTACCTATGGTGCTATAATTAATGGATTTTGCAGGAAGGGGAATTTTGGGAAGATAGACATGCTAATAATTGAAATGAAGGCACGAGGATTAAATCCAAATGTGCACATTTATAACAACATCATTGATGCTAGGTGTAAGCATTGTTCAATTCTTGATGCAAAAGCAGTTTTGAAGCAGATGATTGCAAGTGGTTGTCAACCTGATATTGTAACTTACAACATTCTGATTTCAGGTTATTGTCAGTATAGGAGGGTTGGGGAGGCTAAGAATCTCCTTCGGGAGGCTATTGGAAGAAGCTTGGTTCCAAATAAGTTCAGCTATACCCCTCTTATTCATGGCTATTGCCAGGAAGCTAATGTTGCTTTGGCATCGAACTTGCTCATTGAGATGATGGAAATGGGGCATAAGCCCGACTTGGTAACTTTCGGAGCTCTTATACATGGTCTTGTTGTTGCCGGCGATGTCCATGAGGCGTTGGCGATTCGAGAGAAGATGGAAGAAAGAGGTGTGGTGCCAGATGCAACTGTTTATAATGTCTTGATGAATGGTCTTTTTAAGAAGGGCATGCTTCGCTCTGCTAAACAGTTGCTTGCTGCAATACTTGATCAAAATGTCATGCTAGATGAGTTTATTTACGCTACAATGATCGACGGTTTTTCTAGAAACGGGGATTTGAAAATAGCTTCAAAGCTCTTTCAATTCATGGGAGAAAAGGGTGTCAGGCATAGCGTAGTTGTCTATAACACCCTCATCAAAGGACATTGCAAAGCCGGAATGTTGAGCGAAGCCGTCATGTATATCAATAGAATGAGGCAAGAAGGATATTTGCCAGATGCATTCACATATACTACGTTAATAGACGGCTATGCGAGGCAATGTGACATGGATGGAGCTTTAAGGATTTTTGGTGACATGGCTAAGCAAGAGTGCAAACCAAATGTAGTTACTTACTCTGCATTAATTAATGGATTTTGCAAAAGAGGTGATCTTGATACTGCTAATTCTCTCTTTAGGGAGATGCAGTCAAATGGCATTGTTCCTAATGTTGTAACATATAGCATACTTATTGGTGCTTTTTCTAAAACGGGAAAGGTTTGGAGCGCTGCCGACGTTTTTGAAGAGATGTTGTGTAACAAATGTTTTCCTAATGAATTTACCTTTCGTTATGTAATTAGTGGTCTCATTAGTTGCTGGCGGGATATGGATTCTGTTGTTGATAGATGCGATCAGCGAGTAAAAAGCGAGTTCAGAATGTCAGATATGTTTCAAAATATGATTTTAGATGGATGGGATCACAAGATTGCTGCATATAATGCTGTAATATTCTGCCTTTGCAAACATCAAATGCTCTTGAAGGCATTAGAACTACGAGATCAAATGTTGAAACAAGGCTGTTTCCCGGATGCCATCACATTTCTTCTCCTTCTTCATGTAATTTGCGCACAAGGAAAATCATACGAGTGGAAAGACCTTTTGTCTTGTGCTTTTGAACAGAAGGAATTTGACATTGTGGACAAATACATGAGCCTGCTAGATCAGAATCTAAATGCAGGAAAATCATCTGAAGCATCAAGCATTTTGCGATCATTGCTTGATGAACGAAGGTGCTTTCCAGAGTCGAACTGCATAATTACTGAAGTTTCTTACTGAACATCCTTAAGAGTTTGAAATATAGTTGGTGGATGGAGAATTTATCTATTGAGAATTTTACCTCGGAAGCACAGAACAGTCCTGATAGGAAGGAGGGGATTCGAAAAGCAGAAGGGAATTACTAAGAAGTGATAAATGCTATGCTGCTCTGGCTCTCCTTATAATTTACCCAATGGGTTTCAATTTCCTCACACGTATGCAAGATTGGGCTTTCAGATAAAAGCTAAGGGTATGCATTTCTCTAATATTGTCACAGTTCAGTTTTAGATTTATTACTATCATTATATGTGTGGATGTATGTAGGCTCACATGTGTGTATATGCATGTGCACGTGCTTACTGAATTTCGTGGTCTTTAATTGCACAAATTTCACCTCATTGTGTCCACGAGCTAGATACCAGTTGCATCATATTGTTCCTATAATCGGAAACTACTTTAGGACTGTGGATTAGGCCGTGGCTTGCTCCAATCCTAACTGTGTGCTTCATGTAATGGGGTCAATAATAATAACTAATAAGTATAATATATGCAATTATGAAAATATAATAATAATAATAAGACCACATCTTTTTAGTTTAGAACTCCTAATAACATACTTTACTAATCAAAATCATCAAATCCACAGAAATTCATTTCATTTAGGCTTCATTTGGGACGACTTTCTTATTGCTTCTTAAAGCAGCTTATAAATAGTACAAAAATTTTAACTTTTGAACAAAAAATCTGCTTTTAGAAGCAATAAGAAAGCCATCCAAACAAAGCCTAGTTTTATGCCATTGAAAATCTTTCATGCTTTGAAATCACAAATTTTCTCTGGCAATTGGAGGCATTTATTGAAAAAATTTTGATGCATGCTTTTATTGCGCTAGCTCTTTATAGTTTTAAAGAAAATTGACAATTTTCTTCTAACATTGATGGATATAATCTCATAATCTAAATGAGTAGAGGACAGTGATTCACCTCTTTGGAGGTGAAAAGTTCTATTGATTGGAATAAAGCATTTTTCCTACAACATCATTTACCTTTGATAAAATTTTCATTACATCATGTTCATCGTTCACAAGAAAAGCAATACAAACTGTTTTGGAAATTAATGTGAGCTAATATTAAATTCATAATTGTGGACACCTTTATTCTTTCATTCTTTGTCCCGATTCTCATCAACAGCCAATGCTGTTGTAGGAAAGTTTCCCTCATCCTTTTTTTGTTTATTAGTTTTGCTGTTCACTGGCAAATTGGCAATTGTTTTTAAATATGAGGTTCTTATATAAGAGTGCACCTAAAAATCTAGTGTTAGTTGACTCTGTTTTTTTGTTTGTTTTTTAAATTAGCCTGGAATGAAAGTTTGGATTTTGTATGTCACTCCCCTGTGTTCTCTTGATGTTATGTATTTTGTTCTTCTTTTTTATTTTAAGTTTTGTTTTGAATGCTCAGACGATAATTGAGCTCTTGATTTTATAATTTGGGTATATCAGCTTATTTTATTCATACATTATTCTATTTAAAAAAGGTTTTTGCATGTTAACACAATTCTCATTATTTTTATGAATCCCTTGCAAATTTTCCTAGTATGTTGATCGTCTTGTAAATGAATACTCAGTTATTTACTGTGTTGTAATTTTCTTTTGATGTCGGTGTGATGCCTCAGAATTTAATTTGAAAGAATTATTCTTTCATTTTTTATAATAAAATAGTAATAATATAACTATTAATTTAATCAATTTCTTCATCATAACATTTATATAAATCTTTTTGAGACTTCGAAAATTAGAGAAAAATATTCATAAAATAGCTCATTTTATTTAGAAAATTTTGATGAAATCTGTTTGCAAAACGGACTCTTGACGTTCCCAAAATCCCCATTTGTATCGACAAGTGTCAATTTCTTAAGGATTTGCATCAATGCCTAAAAATTAAAAAAAAAATTAGTGTGATTAAATCACTATAATATCTATGTTATGACAAAAACGATTTGTGATGCGGACTTATAATAATCCATGATAAAATTTATTTACCTGAATGAAATTACGGGCTATTATAATCGACCTTATCAATTTAACGTTTGATGTCTAACCTCCTAAAGCTATGAACCATGTACAAAGCTTCTTTTTTTTTTTCCTTCATTGCTTCTGTCTATATTAACACTGATCTATTATTGATATCACCATTTTTCTTGGTCATGTAAGTTTCCCTTTAATCAGGGAAAAAAATGAACTCGTCAACGATGCAAGACCGGTGTTGTTTATGTGCTTTCTGCCATCCAGAAGGACAATACTAAGAAATGAGAAGTAACAGAAGAAAGCGGCAAATGCCCTGGAACTATAATAGAAGAATTCCATAGTACTTGATCTGTAGCAGCAGTAAGTCATTCCCTGCTATCCTTTTAGATTGACTGATCTCTATATATATTGCTATTAGAGATTTTTTATTCAGAGTTTTATTTACATAATTTCCTTAAGAGTCAAATAGCTCTTCTAGCTTCTCTAATCATAGTACTTTTAATTGGATATTTTCCTTTATTTTTTGTTAGCAGACAACCACCATGTAGCTACAGAATATATAATATTTTCGTGGAGCTTATTAATCAGCTAGCAAAACCTCGGCTTGGCTTCATTTATCAAAGTTTTTCAGCTACATCTGGAGGTTTGGGGTAAGCTTTCATAGTTAAGCTTTGCTTGGGACGGCTTTTTTACTGCTTCTTAAAGCAGTTTTTTAGTACAAAAATTATTATTTTTACTAAAAAACTGTTTTAAGAAATAGTAAGAAAGCCGTCCCAAATGAAGCCTCATGCTTTGCTTGGGATGTTTTTCTTATTATTTTTTGAAGCTGTTTTTTAGCATCAATTTTTTTAGTTTAAAAATTTTTTGTACTAAAAAATTACTTTAGAAAATAGTAAGAAAGCCGTCCCAAACAAAACCTTAATATTTTAATAAATATGCTTGGAATTCGCAGCAGGGTCTCTTTTAGGCAGGAGCTACCCAAAATATTAGTACAACAAAATAGATTAATAAATGTTCTGTTGGATTAAAGCATTATTTGGATGATTAAAATTATATAATTTAAGTGAGAGATTGTTAGAATGTCAATGTACACTAACATTATTTTATGATTGAGCCCAAATTATGGTCTATTCAGGTGGGCCTAAACAAAGGAAGCCAGGCGGCTATTTTAGGTCTATAAAACGTCTTCAATTATTTTTATGTTTGATTTTATATATAAAGAAATGAGTAGGAAGGTGGAAAGAAAAGGGAGAGGAATCTCCAATTAAGGTCATCTTCAACCGAACGAAATTCTATGGTTTGCCGTGGCTGCGAGCGTCCAACTGAATGCAATTTTTCACGTTTTGAATGGTGTCACGCCAAATTGTCGTCGCATTGTTCACAGCGGAGAGAAAACGTAAAATGCATTTCTATTTGACATTCGGGTGGAGACTCGCAGCAAGGCGAATGTCGAATGACGTTCGGTTTGGTTGGAGATGCCCTAAGGTGCAGTTTGCAGTAATTTCAGTTTCTTCACTATTTTATTATTATTATTGTTGTTATTATTATTTTATCATGGAATTAGAAACATGTATGACTCTTCAGTGTTCTAATTTTTTACTATGGTGTTAAATTTGTTCTAACAGTGCATGACCTGAGTAATGCTGATTTTATGCATGTGATATTCCAGAGAATTTTTTTTTTGTCGGATTGATCCATTGTTTCATTTACAGCTTTATTGTTTTAGGCTCTGTTTGATTTAGAGTTGTGAGAAAGTGAAAATGTTAATGAAAAAAATGGATTTAGTCTTCACCACTTGTTTGATTGAAATTGAAAATTGTGTGAAAGAAACTTTTTTTTTTAATTCCTTTCTAGTTAGGTTAATGAGATAATTGAGTTTTTTTTTTGGATGTAGGTTTCGTTTGGAATAGCTTTCTTAATACTTTTTAAAATAATGTTTTAGTTAAAAATTTTGTTGAATTAGAATTTTTTGTGCTAAAAAGTTGCTTTAGAAAGTAATAAGAAAGCTGTCCCACACAAAGCCTTAGGCTTCGTCTGGCTTTGTGGATAGCTTTATTTACTATTTTTTTAAAGTTGCTTTAGAAAATAGTAAGAAACCTGTCACAAATGAAGTCTTAGAAAGAGGGTGTGTGTCTTGGGGTTGAAACTGAGTTGAGTCGAGTCGAATACGTCATGGGTTTGATTTGGGTTGACCATATTAAAAGTTATTCATGTTCGGCTCGAGCTCAAATTGAACTCTTTTCTCTCTCTCTATATATATTTGTGTGTTTAAATTTGGCTTTTTTATTATTATTCTATGATTGAGTTTTGTTTGAACTAACTTGTGTAAATTAGTGGAATGAGAATTTAAATATGCCAATAAAGAAGCTCAAGAAATAAACTGAGTACTCGACTTCTAATAAAAAATAAATTTACAAACCTAAATAAGGAACCAATTCAGTAAAAAAAATAAAAAAGAACCAATTCAGTAAAACATAAATTAGTATTTTACTATTTGACGCCAATTAAATAATAATCAATTAAACCATAAAATAAACAAGTAAAGAATAAGCTTTCTAATAATCATATAACATAAATAAATATTAATAAGTTTGTTTATGGAAATAGATAAATAAAAAAGAGTTAGCAATAAATCAGCATGAAATTACAAATGAGATGTGAATTGGCAAAGTATCATAGATAAATAAATAAATATATAATATATTACTATTATAAATGAATTGTTTGTGAATATAAATAAATAAATTTTTTTTCACTAGAGGTTGATTGGAGGATTGTAAATTAAAAACATGTATATGTTCATGTTTTTGCATGCTAGAAAATTCGTGCTAGTCTAGTAACAGAGTTTTGTGCATAGTTTTGTATGAAGGCCTGTCACACATATAAATAAATGAAGAGCATTGATGACACTAGATTTTTTACACAATAAACTTAGGTTGGCGAAAAACCATGGAGGTTGACTTAGCTGAAATGATTTCATTATGTGAATGTTGATTGCAAATATTTGTTCATTCCTTAACTTGGAGATGATAAGATTATAAGAGTTTGTAGAACCGGTAGAAAATATGACAAAGTCGAAATAGGATGAAAGGTGTTCAGATGATTGAGTCTAAGAAGGTCCGACGGTTGTGATTGGACAGTTGTTTGTCTATGGCGGTTGGACAACGAATGTCCGACAGCACCAGTTTGGAGATGGTGGTTGGGCGGTGTTTTGACAACGTTGTTTAGGTGGCCAATGTTTGAGAATGACATTCAGGCGGCGAGGGTCTGGTAGCAGTGACTGGGCAGTTGTCTGACAAGGGTGGTGCTCAGGTGGAGCTCCATGATTCTTCAAGCCTCCGAGCTCTCTTAAATTTCTAGCTAAATATTAGAGAGGGGAGTGGTTGCCTATTTATAGATTTTTTATAGTATTATACCTCATACATATTGGGAAATTTTGGAACACTCCATTAAACAACTCATATTAATTCCTTTTATCATAAATTGTTCTCTCAACATTTTAAGTGCATTAATATTATCGGAATTAAGTCATCTTGTGCTTGTTGGATTCAATTTTGTTGAGATGCTTGATTTGACTATAAGCATGTCAAAGTTAAATATCATTTGATCTCCAATTAATATTCCAAGGTTTCTAGGTAAGCTTCAAGCTTTTGATTTAAGTTTGTTTAGACTAGGATGAAATCATTTTTAGATTTGTTGGGTTCATCTTGTCAAGTGATCAATTTATGTACAAGTTTGTTGAAAACTTGAAATAGAAGTTTGAATTGTCCTGAGTTTAATTTTAGAAGGTTTTAATTCAAGTGTGTATCAAAATTCGTGTCCGATCAAACTGACTTTTGATGCATAATAATAATAATAATAATATTTCATTCTTCTGTCGACAAATGCTTTTGGTTCCTGCACAGTTGGTCCGTTTCTTTTGGACTATGAAGCATCCAAATGGATATTTGAAAGATCAATCTCCTTAGCCGAGTTGAACGCTATTAGATGTGACAATTTAAGTTAATTAATAAACGAATTTAATACTATTATCTCCTTGTTGATTTTAATTAATTTACCCTTATAACTATCAAGTATGGTAATCTAAGATTTTGTTTGGGACGGTTTTCTTACTGTTTTTTAAAACTTCGTCTGGGACGACTTTCTTGTTGCTTTAAGGAGCATTAAGAAAACCGTCTCAAACGAAGCTTTGAGATGATTTTTTTATTGTTTTTTTAAAACAGAGTTTAAGTACAAAAATTGTACTTAACTCTATTTAAAAAAACAATAAAAAAGTCGTCCCAAATGAAACCTAAGACTTTGAAATCTTAACTTATTATTATTATTATTATTATTATTATATCATGCAAAAATTATCTTGATTGGGCATGAATCTCGAGGCAAAATCAAGCTGGAAGCTTCACAAATTAAATCTGGGATCACTTGAACTCCGATTTTAGTAAACTTACAGTCAAACTGAGCGTCTCGGAAATATGAACCCAACGACATCAAATTTGACTCAATCCGAGCCCAAATGGGTCCAAATCGAAGACCCGAAGCACATTCGGAAGGTTCATAGCACAATTTCAGTTACCAAATGGTTTCCAAACATGACGAGCTTATAGTCGAATCTAGCGGCTTTGACGAGACGAATCCAACGAGCCCAAGATCGCTGAATTCTGATATCATTAAGATCTTCAAATGTCTGACGAATGGTTCACGATCAAGGGATTCAATATCGGCCATCCATCGAACCACTCCACAATTTCCCTTGATCCTCCTCCTATTTACAGGCCATGTCACTCCAAAATATCTATAAATAGACCTCTTATTTCTCATGAGAGGGAGGCCCAAGCAAGAGGAATAAGAGAAGAAGGAGAAGAGAAGAAGATTAGGAGGGAAGAACTCCTCCTCGACCACCACCACCAGAATTCTGTCCGAACGACGCTAGAATTCTGCCTTACCTCCAAGTGACGGCGGAATTTTGCCCGACATCCAAGTGGCGCTGGAATTCCGCCCGAACTCCAAGTGACGCCGGGGTTTCACCTGAACTCCTAGTGATGCCGGAGTTCTGCCAGAATACCATCTAACGCCGTAGTTCTCCTCGGCCGCCAACTGACATTGGACTTCTACCCAACGTCGGACCTCCGCTCGTCGCCAAGTTTCTACCCGACACCAGACTTCTAACTGATGTCGGATTTTCGCTAGGCATGTATTTGATGTTGGATTTCCGTCTATTGCTGGATTCTACCTAACACAGTCCTTCCGACATCCGTTGCCAGTCGACTACGGTCCTCTTGACTTACGTCGCCCACCGACTACAGTCCTTCCAACAAAGCGAATACATCAATAGTGACTCTTTGTATTCCCAACATGTAATGTATTTCATATAATGCACATTAAGCCCAAGCCTTCCCCTAAGGAAGGGCCTCATTTGTAATCAATTGCAATATTAGTGGATTCATTCAAACTGGGCTAGGCCTCGTGATTTTCCCCCCTTTTTTAGGGGTTTTCAATGTAAAAATGTTATGTCTCCTATGAATGCTACACACTCTCTTATCTGATTGCGTGCCGGATTTTCGTACAACACTAAAACGTTAAATTTTATATTTCTCTGCCGCCGCGAATACTCTTGGACGCAACAATTATCATTATTATTCTGACTTAATGATAAATAATTTCACTATTTATTCAGAACTTTAATCTTGGCGTTTATAAAATTGCTATAGAGTATATATATACAAAACTTATAGTATAATATAAATTTGTATATGTTAACTCCCATGGAAGCTGCACTTAAAGATATCAAAACTAGATTTTGGGGAGATTTGTTTGGTATCAAAATCTTGTATATTCTTAGCAGAAATAAGAAGAATTTTAACTTACAATAATAAGAATTAAATTTTGAAAATTTAAACAAAATTCTTAATTTTAATTTTTAATTATTTTTTGCATTTTTTTTAATTATTTGATTGTATCAAGTTTAAGAATATATTTTTGACAATTCATTTTAAAATTTTGGGCCATAATTTTATAAATATGGAAAATCTTTGTAATATAGATGTAAGTCTCTTTAAACTTTAATTGAATAATATCATATGTTTTAATTTTTAAAATATTGTATTTAATTACATAAGCATTCATATTTTTGAGTAAAACGCATAAAATACAAAAGAGATTCACATGCATATTACACAAATTTTTCTTTTATTTATAGGTGATCTAAGTACTTAAAATAAATTAATAAAGATATATATTCTTGTGTGATAGAAATAAATCATAAAAAAAATATTAAATGATGGAGAATAGAAGTTATCTTTAAAGCACGCTTGTAAAATTTAATGATATTTTTATGAACATTTGGGCTTGTCATTTTCTTTTCCCCAAGCGGTGTTAATATTTGAAATGATTCGAAAATTTTGGATTAAGATCAACCCGTTTTGAAAATGGGTTGGATCCGGGTTGAATTAGAAACTTAAAAATGATCTGACTCAACTCCTTTGTACACAAAATTCTGATTCCTTCCTGCACAGCAGCACTTGCGAGTATACCTTGCCCTACGGCCTCGTCGACATCGTTGTATGCCTCTCTCGCTGTCTTGCGGCCCCGTCTCTCCCATTGTCGATGTTCCTTCGGTCCTTTCTCCTCTTCGACTTTGTAATAAGGTTTGTTTTTCCTCCTTTGATGATATTCTTTTTGGCCCTAGCGTCCCATGACTTCGTAGAGTACCCTCTTTGACAGAGTTTCTCCCATTCGTGTGCTTCTTTGGCCATACCCATTTGAAGTTGTGTCGGATCAATCGAAAAATTGACGGGTCGTATCAAATCGTATCGGGTCAATTTCGAATTCAACTTAAAAAAAAAAAAAAAATTAA